TCAACGCCAGAGGAAACCAGTGAGGAAATGTAATCACCAATAAACAGGGGGAAGACCTGGAGGATGCCCTAGTGTCTGCCGATCTAGTATGCTTGAACGACGGAAAGGTTACCCGAATGGCAACCCGACAAGGGGATTCTGACAGCGTAATTGACCTGGCCCTAGTGTCTCCCTCCATTGCATCAGGATGCAGGTGGAGCACACTGGGATACCATGACAGTGATCACTTTCCTTGCGTCGTCCTGGTGGGGAAGAGCAACAACAAAGGTCATGTAATCAATGTGCCTGCTTTTCTATATGACCGTACAGGGCAAGATGCCATTAGCAAAATCAGACGACGTAAAACAAGAGCAGATCGCAGACGGCGGGAGAGATGGGCCCAGCCACCATGGTGAAATGAAGTAGTCAACATGGCGTGGCTAGAAAAAAGGAACGCTGTCAAGGCATGGCAAAAGGCAAGAAAAATTGATCCGTCACTTTCTGAACGCCTGATCAGTCTAAAAGATGAGGTTAACAAGCGGACAGTGGCTTTCAAGTTAATTGCCAAAGAAGCCAAGACAGCGAAATGGAATGAATTCTGCAAGAGCGTTTACTCCGAGGGATCTCTTGTGACATTCTGGCGCCTTCAACGGAGCATGCACGGCGCCGCACGACCAAGGGGTATCCCTGATTTTCAGGGTACAGACCTGATATGGCAGAGAACTGATGCTGATAAAGGAAAAACCCTTCTTGCGCGCTACTTGGAGCAAACTGACCAAAAAGACGAAGCTGCAAGAATAGGGGTTAAGATGAAACTGTCGATGCTGTGCGAGAACACTGAGCTAGGCACTGATTTCACAATCACTGCAGACAACTTAAGAACTTGCCTCAAGAAATCGCGCAGCACTGCTCCAGGCCCTGACGGCATCCGATACAATGACACGCTGATGATGTCGAATGCTGATTTGAAAAGCGTGGCAAAGGAATTCAATATCAGCATCCAGAGCGGCCAGATACAAGAGGAATGGCTCCATAGTTATTTGTTCCCACTACCAAAGCCTAATAAAGACCACTCAAAGATCTGCGGCTACAGAATCATCTCGACGCAGAATACTGTTGGCAAACTTTTGGAAAAAATTGTCGCACAAAGATTGACCACCTACTTGGAACTACATGATAAGTTCCCATCAACACTTGGAGGGTACAGGTTGAAGAAAGAGACATGGTTCAATGCTGCTGTTTTCGCCTACGATGTGTACGAGGGATTTCAGATTAAAGAAGAGACATGTGCGGCAGTGTTGGACTTAGAAGATGCCTACAATAAAGTACCATACGAATATTTAATGCAATTACTGCTTAAACTAGAAGTCAATCCTATTCTGATCCGCTGGATTGCTGCGATCCTGTTCCAGAGAAAGATTGTACTAAGATGTGGTAGCTGGTCCTCAGAACCGCAAACGATATGTCCAGGCTTGCCACAGGGATCACCGCTATCACCAGTCTTATTCAACGTTTATACGGTGATGATCACTGAGCAGCAGTTGAATGGAAAGGGAAGGACTTTGTCATTTGCTGATGACATTTTGATTTATCGACGAGGGCGTGATAGACAGGAGATCGCCAGCACAATGCACAAAGAACTCGATCGAATTGCCGCCTGGTGTGATGGTTCCAATGCCTGTGTCAATCCTTCGAAGGCATCAGTGTCATGGTTCTCTTTGAACAATCACATTGTCAAGTCGGACTTACCAGAAGTGAAAATGCGTGATAATATATTGATCAGAACCAACGTTATGACGTTTCTCGGGGTGAGGTTTCGATCGCAGCTTGTCATTCAGGGAACACGTTGACCATGTGATAACAAAAGCACGCAAAGGTCTATCTGCAATGAGGATTATGGCTGCTTCCAATATCGAGCAAAGACTACTAATACTTCTATTCTACGGTCTGGTCCTTTCACCCATTGAATACGCTCTGGCCATCCTCACTGTCAGTGCTACCCAGATTGAAAGACTCGAAAAGGTGCAAAATGAAGCCATGCGCATTATTTTGGGATGTACAAGAGACACATCCTGTGAAGCAATGAGGTATCTACTTGACTTTCCAACAATGAACCAAAGGATCAGAATGTGGAGGGCTCGGGCATACCTCAAAATATGTGCTGATAAGAAACACCCACTGCATCAAGCGCTTTTTAGTGAAAAGGGCGACAGACTGAAGAGGGGAAAATCGTGGCTAGGTCGGGCAGAAGATGTTATTAGGCAAATATGCAGCCTAACCGACATCATACCTGGTGCAGAATGGATACCTGTGCCTCAGGCGTTTATTTGTACATTTTCCTGTATTGTCACACTCAACAGGCGATGTGGAGAAGAGAATCCTGTTGCTGTTAATGCAGAGGTCAACGCTCTCATCGGTGAAAATTCAGACGAAGCAGATGCACTAATCTACACAGACGGATCCGTTATACGCCAAAGAAGAAGCGCATGGGCATTTACAGCACGCTCAGCGGGCAGAACAGTCAAAGAAGCCAACGGTGCCTTCTCCATGACAACCAGCAGCATGACGATGGAGGTGATGGCAGTGACGCAAGCGTTTGCCTGGCTTGAAACACAAAAATACACCCGCATATGTATACTCAGTGATTCAATGAGTATGATCCGGAGGGTTCAGGCAGGTTCAGTGCGAAGACAATGGCTTGAATCATTACAGAAGTCCACTGTGCGTGGAGTCACCTTTATTTTTGTTCCGGGACACGCAGGCGTCGATGGAAATGAAAGAGCTGACAGGTTGGCTGGATCCGCTATCACTACCGACGGTCGGCCTATGGATCATGCTGATATTATCAATGCCCTCAGAGAAATGGGAAGGATAGAGGACTTTGGTGGCAGTGAATCCACATCACTCGCCAGAATGGCAGACTTGGGAATTAAGATCGGCACAGCAAAAAACGAGACGCACACCGGACACGTCAGAAGACTTGTTAATCAACATAGAACTGGTACTATTAGCCATCGGACGTTGGGGTTCATACTGAGGGGGGGATCTGAGCACCTATGGACATGTCCGGAGTGCAATGACGATAACCCAACTAACTAACTAACTAACTAACTAACTAATACATACATACATACATACATACATACATACATACATACATACATACATACATACATACATACATACATACATACATACATACATACATACATACATACATACATACATACATACATGCATGCATACATACATACATACATACATACTAGGGCTGTAACGAATAGCAATTTTCACTATTCGGCTGAATACGAATAGCGGGACTAACTATTCGGCGGAATACGAATAGTGTATAGTGTATAAAATATATCTAGGGGGAAAAAAACATCCACAATGTCAAATGTACGCTGAACTTTTACTTCATATAAAGTAGAACAGAACCGTCATCTTTTTCTTTAGCATTCTGAGCCCTTGAGGTTTACAGCTGCAGATATCACTCGTCTCCATTCATCTCTCTGGCTGGCCTTATATTCACATTTTGTGACAGCAGTTGTTTGCAGGTCTGGCTGGACATTATCTCTCAAACTTCTTTTTTTGTCTGCCTCGTGGTCTACGTCCAATCCTCTCTCAGGTGTATACAGTTTTTACTCTATGTCATCTGACATTCTTTCAATATGCCCCAACCATCATAGTATGTTAGCTCTCATGATGCCAGTGATCAATGGTGATTTAAACAGATTATGTGTTACGTTGTTGCTTCTCACTCTCCATTCCCCGATGTAAGCATCTTTGATGGGTCCAAAGATTTGTCGTAAGACTTTTTGAAAACCTGTTATAAGGCCTCATCTCTTTTATTTCTGCTTCAAGTTTCAGAGCCATATAAAACGACTGGCCTTTTTGACGTTTTATATATTTTGATCTTGGCGTTTTCTTTTTGACTTTAGCAGATGTTGAAGGGCATAGTATACTTTATTTCTAGATTATATTCTAGATTGTATTTCTTCTCTCAGCATGTTGGAGCAGTTGAAGTTTTCACCCAGGTACTTATATTTTTCCGTTCGTTTGATTTTCATATTATCGACTTGGACGTGGCCGGAGTTTATATTATTTCCATGTCTAGTTAATATTCGAACAGAATAGTAAACATTTAAAAAAATTTAATGTTTTGCATCCTTCTTATCACTGTTGATAATGATAGTGGCTGCAAAGACTATTCTCTTATTTTAAAACTCTTTTTCATCCCATTTTATTTTCATCCTTTTCATCAGACGCTTGTCCTCTTCCCCTTTAACTTTCGTTCCATGTTTTTAGTCATCCTCCAACGTTCACTTGCATATGTTAAAACTGAAATAACATTATTTACTTTAATTAGATTTGATTCAAGAACCGACATCACAGCACTCGGGGCATTCCCATAAACGCTCCGTTCCCATCTTCAACAGCCAGCGAAGAGTTCCGATACTAATGGTGCCAGTAGCATTCTGATTATACGCCCGTCTTGCCTTTCCTCTGAACCTCGAGCATCTGCCAGAACCTCTCGTCACTCCCCTCAGTTACAATCACGATGTGTGTGTGTGTCGTGTTCTCTAGCCAGCGGAAAGCTCCAGTGACTGCCTCCACCTCCATTCTTAAGCTGGATGTTGTGGTATCATATGCTAGGCTGGCTCTCCTGCACCAAACGACGACCATTAACTGTTGCTAAGAAGCCCCAAGTGCTATGTGACATAGAATGGCATAACAGAATAATGAATGAATTAAAATATATATGTTTGAGTTTGTGTGTATGTGTTTGAAGACTTGTTAAAAATTTTTAATTATAAATAAAAAAAATTGGTACATTTTGGTGAGCTTTGCAAAATTTGGTACGATTCACAAATCTTTTCGGCAGCCCTGATGAAACAAAAGCAAACGAACTCTGGTCACGTGATATTTTGTACGCCATTTAAACGACAGTCAGCACTATTCATGTTACCAGTTAATAAGTGGCACCATTAATTATTACGTATGCTGAAGCCAATAACAAAATGAGCGAAACTAATTCTTTCTGGTTTATAATATTAATATGTTTAGCAGTTATGTCGCCGACTCGTCTTGTTAGTGCAGACGTGTATGCAGTTGACGATTCCGTTGGAGTTGGGCGTCGCTATGATGGCATTGGTGGTTTGAGCGGTGGATCAGTAAGTAGTTTGGTATACCTGCTATTATTATGAGCCAGTAAATTACATGGCAAATACTAACTGATATTAGTAGGGATGCTAGTTGAGTTTTATATAATGGATTGTTTACCTATGAAACTTTCACAGCTAAATTGAGATTTAAATATCAACCATACCTTAATGAAGCCTTCAGTCAGTTACAAACAAGGATGTTAAATTAACATTTTAGTGGCGGACACTACCAAAGATAAATCATAGTTTAATCTGACAGTAAAATATGGGGTGGAAATGACTAAATGTTTGTATTTAATGGCAATAACTATTTTGTTTCTTAACGAATCAGTCTGGTTGTATATCCATCTCACCTTTCCCCCTAAATGTTGTTCGTAGCCCAAATAAATTCCCTGGTCACTCCTCGCAACACCATTCTCCTTAGACCATAATGAGTTACGGCCTGTGCGTCAGCACTGTTCACTCACCCCATAGGGCCCTTACAACATCTTGCTTTCCATGCATAGGTTCACCACCAAGTTGTGTAGAACCAGCCCATCTATATATCTTTTTCCATTTCCCAGGAAACTGGCACACCCTGGACAAAATACACACACACAAAATGCTAACAACCTGGCACCATTGAAGCTATGCTTGCCACTCTTCACTGAGAATACCAGTCTCCACCTTTCTCAACACGCTTTGTGAGTTGGTTACAATTAAAATAGGTGTGTACAACTGATTCTCAAGCCAGCGGAAGGCTGCAGTGACTGCCTCCACCTCCATTTGCAAACTAGATGTGGTGTCGTATGCCAGGCTTTGTTGCACTAAGTGACATCTATTCACTTTTACCAAGAACCCCCATGAACTTCATCTGCCTCTCAAAACAGAGTCATCTGTATAGATAATCACATCACCTGGGTGAGAATTGTCATAAATCATTTCTTTTGATTCTGAAGTGTCCGCTGGCCAGTCTCTGCACTCGTGGTCCAATGTGCTCAGAACCAAACACAAGTCTGGCTTTTGCTGGTGCACTCAGGACCCATTCCTCTTTTCCTCCAGTGTTATCAAACCTGTAAACATGTGTAATTGTGTCTTCAGCTTGCACCTTCTAAGATCTTACTCTTTTCAGTCTGTGACACTTTCAGCCCAAACCGAAACAGCCAAAAAAAAAAAAACATTTTCATGACCCACCAATTTTCCTCAGCCCCCAAGGTTCTCGCGACATTAAATGTATATATAAATACAGATGCATACTAACACTTGCATGTATGCGTGCGCGCACACACACACACAAGAAATAATATATACTTTCCTGCATTTATTCTTTGTCTTCTGCTTTTGTTTGCCCTTAAAAGGATGATTAACACATTGTTTTGTGGCTTACAGCTAGGCTGAGATATTTGGGCCTTTCAGTCTGATTCAGCAAAGCCTTAGCTAATCTCATCTTATGACATACTTGCTTAGGGCAAGCATGTAATAACACAACAGCAACATGACCACTTGTCAGTAACAAGAGTTAATTCATGAACATATCTGTCTGGTTCTGCCATTTCTATTACATGACTGCCGAAATTGATACTTTCGTACAAATTTGACCCTTACTGAGCCAAAATCTGTGTTTGATACTGGCTATCATCTCACTGTTAAAAGAAAAATTGTTGTCCCTCCTTAAAGTGTGAAGGGAGATAACAGTGAAATATTATTTTTTTCTTTTTTTCAAACTCATTCATCAAGAGTCATTAACAGTTATTTAGATGTTCAAGGGAACTAACTCCAGTTAATTTCAACGTTTAGATTGTGGTGTTGATTTTCAGAAATACATAGAAATCTTGTTGCAAACAGCACATCTGACTTTGACATTACAGCCAGAATGACATCTGTAAATGCCACCCCTCTACTGGTCACCATGTGGGAGGGTTTCTTGTGTCAGACACATAATTAATACTTCTCGTCCTTTCTAGGATGACATTTTTAGTTATTTGAAGCCCTACTCTGGCTTTTGCCAGGAGCCGCAATATAGCCTGGCCATAAATATGGCCTAAAGGCTGAACACGGTTTCTGGGACCTCTCCAAGGTGATCCTCACCTGCATGGTGGCACATTGTGTCATCGGGTGTTTATCGCTTGTGTGATGTCCTGGTGGGGTAGAAAGTCAGTCAGCCAGTCAGTGACAGACATATGGATTTTCAGTTTTACAAGATGCAAATATTAATTCCATCTTCTAACTTGTTTGGTCCCAAAAAGCACCAGAGCAGATTCTGAAGGAGTTGAATTACCACTATAAAAAAAAAAATCAATTTTTGCTTTGTTGTCTATTTCTGTTTACAGGCTACCTCAAAGCTGCTTATTGGTTACCCCCAGAAACAGAGGGATGAGGTGTTGGATTATTTATTCAAAGTAAGAACTGACTAATGGCACATCATATTCGTTTTTACTCATTAACAGGAAGTTCCTTAGGAATTTTCATTACTTCATTAAATAATGAATGTATTAAACATATGATTAACTCTTTTATTACCAGGCTGGTGTTACTGTAACTCATTCTGTTCTTATAAGTTACTATAGTGAGGTTAAGTAAAGGATCTTTTTCCACACCTTCAGGTGTATTATACATATAGGACTAGATCTTATTTTATAGGCTAATCGGCACTTGGTGGGTGATGTGGTCAGCATCAGGCTGGCTGCCTTTACATCCCATGACTGCACATGGTACCCAGTCAAGGTTGGGTTGACCTGGGAGCCTCGTTAATATTTTAAATGGACCTGATCCTGACCTTTAATTTGCAGGTGAGCTTCTAGCTGCTACACTTTGGCGACTCCCTCTTATAAGTTACTGTCACTAAAAAATGTTTGTTTTTGAGAAGAAAAAGAAAATAACACTGGGACAGAAGGGGTTAAAGTAACAATTTGTGTGGATAGGTCACATCATCAACCTGTTGTGCAATAATGTATCATACAGGGCGTGGCAGAATGTTCTTCATTTCCATTCTTTTATTTGCAATCTTTACTTAATCATGGATGGTATCCAGGATAACCCATGTGATCTCTCTCCTCCATGTTTAGGGACTGAACTGCCCTTACAGCTTTATCTCTAACCCCCTAGTTATGGCCCCTGGTACTCCACAGGGGGTATTTATTCCCCCAGCTGACACGTGCGGGCATTCTGCCTAGAAACCATCGACCCGGCTGCTACGAGATACCAGCTGTGATTTTGTGTATTTGTGTAGTATTGTTTGATTTGTATATGCTGATGAAGGCTCCGTAACTGCAACATTCAAGTTTTGTTTGTGTTTGTTATATTGGGAAGCTTGCTAACATACTTTTCTTTCAGTTCTATATCTTTCCTCCATGTTTGTTTTAGAGTTTCTTTTAGCCATTCTCAATTCCTCAGTCCATTTGTTTCCCATTTTAATGCCTTTTTAGTGATTCTCTGCTCACTTCTTCCCAGGACTGGTGCTTAAAAAATAAAGATCAACATATACAACAAATTAAATAGATCTTTATATTTCCCAACAAAACTTGACTGAGGTGACTGGAGGAAGAGAAGAAGAAGCAGAAGAAGACCATTGGGACTCGGTAGGTAGAATCTAGTCTTTATTTATATCACGTGGGGGGGGGGGGGGGGTGCAAAATTCTTAACCATTCGCCGATCCTCCTCTTTACACTTGTTCCTGCTTCAAGGCGCTTTCATCATTTGGAGGTGACAGGTAGATATTGACAGATAGATGAGCTTGACATGGAGGCGAGGACATATCTAACCAAATGTGGTGTTTTTGTTTCCTCAGCCAAAATTTGCTGGTTCACTGCAAATACTCAAGGTTGAGATTGGTGGCGACGCACAAGCATCAGGTAAATTGAAGACTGCAGTTTAATAAAAGTTCAAAAAGAAAACAGACTAAAATATAACAGCATAAATAACAATGGGGCCCAGGAACCAACACGGGGCATGTTCTGTATGATGCCTAACATTATATGTGCCTTGTCATCGGCCAGTCTACAGTGGTTTATTTGTGGATGTGTACAGAATGTAGATTGCATCAGATCAGATTGTCATCTTTACAGTTCCCTATGTTGGTTCTGGAGCTCTTGTGGGAGGGGGGGGGGGGGGAGTGTGGTGTTTAAGAATAGACCCACTGCTTCTTAACAAGCATATCATAAATGATGACTAAAGTTTGCTGAAACTGGATGTCTAACATCCTGTATCCAATCTTTCTCTTGATACTGTAATGTTAAAAAAAAAAAAGGGAATTTTTGATTTCTATAACTTTAATTATATTTGGCGTATGATGCTAACCTTTTACTTTTATAAACTAACGTAGATAGTCTCTTCTTCTTCTGCCTTTCTATCCCCCAATGGAGCATAGACCCTCAACCAACTCAGGCCAAGTCGTTCTATCCTTCGCCATTGCGTGGAGCTCTCCCCATGTCCTCCCAATCTTTCTAACCTCATTCTCCAGCTCTCTTCTCCATGTGTTTTTTGGCCTTCCTTTATTCCTATGCCCCTGTGGGTTCCAATGCAAAGACATTCTAGTTATGCTGTTCTCCTGTTTTATCAGTGTGTGCCTTATCCAACGCCAGCGTCTTTTCCTCACCTCCTGATCCACTGGAGCCTGTTTAGTTCTCTCCCAAAGTTCTACATTAGTTATTCTATCATACCATTTTATTCCCTCTATTCTGCGCAGGCACCAGTTAATGAATGTCTGTAATTTATTAGTAATTGCCTTGGTTGTTCTCCATGTTTCCGCCCCATACAATAGTACTGATTTGACATTAGAATTAAAAATTTTTAGTTTAGTATTTCTTTTAATTTCTTTTGACCTCCACAAATTCCCTAGTGCTATGAAAGCCCCTCTTGCCTTTTGTATTCTAATTTTAATATCTCTATCAGTTCCTCCATCTTTATCTACATTACTGCCTAAATAGGTGAACAACTCCACGTCTTGGAGTGGGGTGCCATTAAGAGAAACCACATTACTATTTGCCTGATTTATTCTCATTTTCTTTGTCTTTCCTTTATGGATTTTCAGACCAAGCTGCTGTGATCTCGCATTAAGTATATTTAATTTATCTTGTATCTGATTCCGTGAATGGGACAGAAGAGCAATATCATCAGCGAAGTCCAGATCATCTAGCTGTTTTGTAGGGGTCCACTGAATTCCATTCTTGGTGTTAGCAGTTACTGTTTTCATTGTCCAGTCTATAGCCAGTAAAAATAAGAGAGGTGACAAAAGACATCCCTGTCGCACACCTGTTTTTATTTCAAATGCATCTGTTAGCTTTCCCTCATGAAGAACTCGACATTTCATGTCTTTATATGTTGCCTTTACTAAGTTGATAATTTTCTGTGGGATTCCATAGTGCCCCATCAATTTCCAGAGAGATTCCCTATCAATGCTGTCAAATGCTTTTTCATAGTCTATAAATCCAATGTAAAGTGGTGAGTTCAGTTCAATGCTTTGCTCTATTATAATACGTAATGTGGCTATCTGATCAGTACAGGATCTGTTTGACCGAAAACCTGCCTGCTCATCTCTTAGCATTTTATCAATAGCATCTTTTAATCTTTCCAAAATAATTCTACTTAATATTTTTCCAGGAACTGACAGCAACATAATTCCTCTATAGTTTTCACACTCCTGTAGATCACCTTTTTTGGGCAGTTTCACAAGATATCCTTCTCTCCAGTCTGCTGGTATTTCTTCGGTCTCCCAGACTTTACTGAATAATCTATGTAGCAATTCTGTTGATGTGTTTATGTTGGTCCTGATGGCTTCAGCTGGGATACCATCTGGGCCTGACGCCTTTCCTTCCTTAAGAAGATTTATAGCTTTTCTAATTTCCTCTTTGGACGGTATCTCACAGTTGATATCCAGTTCCATTTCTAAAGGCTGGATATCTGGGGGAACCTCTGGGCTGGTCTATTTAGAAGCATTTCAAAATATTCAACCCATCTGTCCATTTGATCTTTAGTGTTAGTAAGTACCTTTCCTTGACTATTTTTGATTGATCCAGTTGGCTGACTATATTTACCTACTAATTTTCTTGTGTTACTGTAAAGTTCTCTGAGGTTTCCTTTTGCTGCTGCTGTCTCCGCTTCTTGTGCTAGATCATTTAGATATTTCACTTTATCTGCCCTTATATGCCTCCTAACTACCTTGTTGGCTTCTGTGTAATTCTCCTGAGCTCTAGCTTTAGCAGCTCTAGTTTTGCTATTGTTTAATTCTGCCTTTTTACTTTTCCTATCTTCAATCAGTTTAATGGTTTCTGGTGTTATCCATGCTTTATGTTTCCTTTCTTTCTTGCCAAGAACTTCTACGCAAGATTCATTCCAGATTCCTTTGATCTGATCCCAGCAGACTTCTGTGTTGACATCTTCAGCTAACTGCTGCAACACCTGGTACTTATTAGAGACCGTAACTGAGAACTGTTCCTTAATTTCTTTATCTCTGAGAAAGCCTACATTATATTGGTTTCTATGATTATAAGATGTTATATATCTTTTTAGTTTCAACTTGACCAGGAAATGGTCAGTAAATACATCGGCACCTCTGAAAGACCTAACATCGTAAAGGGATGATCTAAACTTTTTGTTAATACATATGTGGTCAATTTGATTAGTTGTCTTATGGTCTGGTGATTCCCATGTTGCCTTGTGTATACTTTTATGGGAAAAAATACTTCCACCAATAACATACTGGTTATCTGCACAGAAATTTGTGAACAATTCTCCATTTTCATTCATTACTCTTAGATCTTATCTCCCCATAATTTCTTCATAACCTGTGTTGTCTGATCCTATCTTAGCATTCAGGTCACCCATCAAAATTTTTAAGTTGCCCTTTCTTTCATTATTTATAATATTTTGAAGCTGCATGTAAAAATCTTCCTTAACAGATGCATCTTTATCATTTGTTGGTGCATAACACTGTATTACCGACATGTTCACCTTCTGTTTTACTGTTCTAAAAGATGCTCTTATTATTCTGGGACTCACAGCTTCCCATTCTATTAGTGCCCTGTCTGCTTCTTTTGATAGCATCAGGGCCACTCCTTCACTGTGCGGCGAATTTTCCTCCGTGTGTCCTGAGAACATAATAGTTTCTCCTGAATTAAGAATACTTTTCCCTGTCCCAGTCCATCTAGTTTCACATAACCCCAAAATACTAATTCTATAATGTTTCATTTCCTTTGCTACTTCCATTGTTCTCCCTATATCATAGAGAGTTCTAACATTCCAGGTGCCAATTCTGGAGGTTTTCCTAGCTGAGAGGAGGTTAGTCAACGATCCGGACTCCTTACGGCTTTCTCCACACCGTGTCAAACTTCTTCTATTTGAAGAGCCTCCCCTCATCTTGGTTGGCAGGATTTTATTTGCTTCTCTTTTTGACTTATCCATGGTTGGTTGGTTTTTGTGGCTATGGTTTTTACAGGATGAGGTAGCCAACCTCAAGCCCAACCCTACCCTTAGTCGCCTCTTACGACATGCCTGGTAGGGTGCAGTGTCACTATTCTTTGCTTCCCGTGAGGGCCCCGGTGACATACGGGCGAACGTAGATAGTGGGATCAGTAATTTCAACCAGTGTGATGTTATCTATCCATGTGAACAGTTGTCCTTCTCTTTCATGTTTTTCCTCCCACATGTTCATTTACTGTGTTTATAAGATATATAAAACAAGGACAGTGAAAAACCAGGGGTACCAAAAGCTAGAACCTAGGTGGCTCAGGCGCCTTGAGAGAAACTGGCCATCTTGTTTTGTTCATTATTAACTGTGTAATGATGTACAAATGAATAACTCTATGCAAGGAGTGGACTGGAATAACAAAATGTTGGACGGGCCTGCATGCCCAAATCTAAAACCTTTGAAAATAGAGTTTGTTTATGAGTTCATTCTTTAAGAGGGCTAACCCCCACCCATCATGTTTATGAGTTCATTCTTTAAGAGGGCTAACCCCTACCCCTCATGTTTATGAGTTCATTCTTTAAGAGGGCTAACCCCTACCCCTCATGTTTATGAGTTCATTCTTTAAGAGGGCTAACCCCCACCCCTCATGTTTATGCGTTCATTCTTTAAGAAGGCTAACCACCACCTCTCATGTTAGTTCATTCTTTAAGAGGGCTAACCCCTACCCCTCATGTTTATGAGTTTATTCCCCACCCCTCAACCAACCATGTACAGAATTTCTCTTTTTATAAATTTGTTTATTAAAATCTGTACATTTAATATTATTTCAAATCTATTGCTGTATCTGCAGTTCAGCACATTATCATTATCATCACAATAATATCTAGCTATTATGCTGCTGTAACTCTCATAGAAAACTGTAGCCCAAAAAAAAAAATTCCACAAAGGCTTGTCATGAGCTGATTGAGGACTTTTATTGCATTTGAGGTGAAAGGCAAAATAAAAAGAAGAAGATGGTCTGCAAATTAACCCAAAAAAGAATACACATCTAGAAACACTTTTGCCATCATATAACAGAGGATTCCAGAAATATCAATGAATAACTTATGGTTCAATATTTCTTATAGTATTAGTCCTTTTCTTGTCTTTTCTTTTGTTTATAAATATAGATGGAACTGAAGCATCCCATATGCACGTGGAGTGGGAGGAAAACTACCAGAGAGGATATGAATGGTGGCTGATGCAGGAAGCTAAAAAGGTAACAGTTTGAATACAGCACATTCCTTGTGTGGGTTCTGGGGCCACATTGTGGGAACAAAAAATAGATCCACTTCCTCTCTAAAAAGCGTAGTCAACTAAATAGTGGTTTCCTTCAAAGTCAAAGTTGATCTGCCCGAGAGGCTAGGAATCTACAGTCTGCACACAGATAGCTAGATCTGTAAAATGGATCTGCACACAAAACTCAGGTTCTAGGAAAAGACTACCCCAGAAGTGGATGAACAACCAGAGCTGTCCAACTGAGTTTACAGCCCGTGAACGCAAGAGGAAGAATATAGTACACAAAACAGAAAAATATGAATAGGGTGCATCAAAGAGTGTCATATAAACAGAATACATGTTAACATTTACTACATCCTGTATCACAGTGGTTCTCACCTTCATAATGTCTTGACTCTTCGATACAGTTCTTCATGTTGTAGTCGATTGTCAGGAATAAGAGAGCTGATCAAAGAGATAGACAGTAGCTAGAGCTGTAAGTTGCAACATAAGGGCACCAGACAAAATACTTATATACCAATCAAAAAATCCTTAAATACTGGTACAAGACAATTAACATATAAAAAACACACCAGGACAGATTAGTATTCTGCTTCTCAGAGTAGGATATAATCAACTTTAACTCCACCATCACTTACTTAAATGCAAACTTTAAAATCATTGAAAAATCCTTGTGTAAATGTGGACAACAGAGCACATTCTCCAAGACTCCTGAATTTGACATGTCAAGGCAAACCCTCTGACTACAAAAATTACAATAGAAGCAACACTTTATGGGCCACTGATTGCACTAAATAAACAATACAGTGAAGTTTATACCCCAAAAAATATTATTGCAGATATAGACCTTTTGTTGAAAGCAAAAGTCGATGAAGAAGAAGAGGAGGATACTAGAAGAAGATGGAGAGGAAAAAGAAGTAGATAAAGAAAAAGAGAGTAGGTCATGTAATAAGTGTGATAGCCATCACCCTGCTGAATCTATGGTATATATTTATGAAGCTTGAACAACATGTGTAATAAGCTTATAATATCCGAATCCCACAGCGGAATCCAAATATCAAGTTGTTTGGACTTCCTTGGGCTTTTCCCGGTTGGATTGGAAATGGCACCCAGAATCCATACTATGACAGACAAAAACTGGCAACTTACATCTTCAAGTGGATTAAAGGGGCAGATGTTTATCACAACTTGAAGATTGACTACATTGGGGTAAGCTAGACTCAGTACTCAGAATATGTGCTTTATGAGTGAGTGTGTGAATATGTATGTCCAAGTGTGTGTGTTTGTGTGCGTGTATGTATGTGTACGTATGAGTATGTGTGCGATCACTGAATATGTTTCTAGAAGTATGAGTATGCCTATGTCTGCTTATGTGGTCACAGTGAGTATGTGTGCATGTGTATGTATGAGTTTTTTGGAAGAATTAGTATATGTGAATGAGGGTGTGTGTGAATGCATGCATGTATATGAATGCATGCGTTTGTGTATATTTTAATGTATACATTAACCAGCCATGCCATTGTGTTTTTACTTTATTCTCATATTCTCTATTTTGTTATATAAACATCACATGCTTTGTTGATAAAATGCACTGGGAGTGTGAAAGATAGTGCTTGAAATCACTGTATGTAAAGAAGGGCTATATGCCCAGTTTGTGACCCTTTAGAAATAAGGTGTGGTCAATTGTCTATTTACACATACTAATATACAAACTCACATTCTCTCATTTACTTTCTTTTCTCTAAAATATTATTTTTTTTTAGCCTTCCGTTCATAAAACACCCCAAAAATTATTGTTCTAAAATAGGACAACACTTTCTTTTTAAATGTAACAAAGACAGGAAATGTTATCTAACTTAAGCAGTTCTTTACACTTTTGCCCCTAGAAACCGAAATCTAGTCACTTGCATTTGTGCCACGTCCCGCAAATGCAACTTTGTGGCCATGCCTGCAGTGACCTCTTCTCTAAAACCGTAGTTGAATTCCCTCGGCCCGGTGTGTATCTGCACTGTAATATAATAGGCCAGGATAAGAATGAAGTTAACTAAAATAGCTACCTTTTAGCACAGTTTTCTTTTTGACCCTAATGACTTTTTAAAAGCCCGATTGATGTCACATTTTTCTGTAAGACTCAGTGATAGAGGTCATTAGGTCACAGCATGAGTCACCCAATACATTTTGTTGTTTTTTCGCACACCTTTAAATATAATAATACTTCACTCTGTTTGGGCTGATTGATTGTCCCTTAATATATATATTTTAAATTTTTTGAGGGAAATATTTAAAAAATGTAGATAAATAAGTTTGTTAAAAATCAATTAATGGCCTGTGTAATTTTTTTTTAAGGATTGTTTTCTAGAAATTCCTGAATGTTGAATTCAGAATCGATATAACAGCACTCAGGATACTTCCATTAGCACTCTGTCCCCATCCTCAACAGCAAGCAAAGAGTTCCAATACAAATGGCACCAGTAACTGTCTGACTGTATAACCATCTCTCCTTTCCCTCGAGTCTTTAGCTTTGGCCAGATCCCCTGGTAACAACTCGCAGCACCATTCTCCTCAGACTAATGATCTGTTTGTGCCTCCTCACTTTTCACTCGGTCACAAAGGGCACTCATAATATCTAGCTTTTCATAACATATCAGTTCGCCAGCAAACGGTGCAGAACAGGCCAGTTTATCTGACTACTCATTACCCAACACAACTTGGACCTCTGAAGAGATGCTTCAAACTGCATGGAGCATGCCTGTCCCAACCCTTTTCAACATGCTCTGTCAGTCCATTACAATTACAACATGTGTGTACAGCTGATTCTCAAGCCAGCAGAACGTAGCAGTGATTGCCTCCACCTCCATTCTCAAACTAGATGTCATATAATATGCCAGGCTGTGCTGCTCTAAGCGACTTCCATTCGCTTTTGCTAGGAGCCCTCCATGCACTTCATCAGCCTCTCAGCACAGAGCCATCTGCATAGATAACCACGTCACTTGGGCAGGAATTGTCATGAATCATTTGTTGAACTGCTGATTCTGCAGCACAAGCTGGCACGACCTAAAGTGTTTAAAATCCTACAAAAATCTTATTCTTGCTCATACACTTTGACTCACTCCTCTCTTTGCCCCTATTTGTCAAGCCTGCACCTGTTCAGTCTGTGTCCTCAGCTTTTGCCATCCAAGACCTTTGAGCCTGTCTGCAATAGAAAGCAGAACAAGTATAAATAGCATAGATACTACTGGGGTATCTCTTGTACATCCCAGAATTACCTGCATGGCTTCACTCTGTGTGCGTTCAAGTGTCATCAGCTGACTTTTTGATATGGTAAGCATTCCGAGTCCATAATCTTTTACCAACAGGATCACATGCTGAAATATACTGAACAGCATTCTTTGTTCCATGTCCATTGCTGGCATAATCTTGAGAGCAATGAGCCCTTTTCGGCATTTCACCGCAACTGCCTCCATTTGATCCTGAAGGACTGGCTTCTGTCAAAAATGATACCCAGTTTGCTTCTCTTTTGATTTTTCTATTATTAATTGTGAGGCTTGGATCATTAGCTTTTAAAGTTCTATTGTGCAGAGAGCACCATAAAACAGCCACCTTTTCTGAGTTGATTACAGCACCCATCTCTGTACATGTAATGGGGGATATTTTCACCCAGTTTAGGATGGTTGGGGGGAAGGCCCAAAGCTGACCTAAAACACCGAGATAGTCCAGATACTTGGATAAAACGAGAATCTGGAGATAGGTGACTAACCACTAGTTATCACGGGGACCACGATGATGCGACCCAAGGTCGCCACGTAAAAAGTAAAGGACCACCACGTTTTGTCACGTGAAACGAACCCGTGGTATAAGTCAGATTTGACTCTGGTCAAGTTTAGTTTGTGTCGACCTGTTGGAGTGAGAGGACATGAGACTGAATGTAAGAATGTCTACGTGAGTGCCTGTGGAGAAAGGAGACCTGCCGACGAAGTGTGAAGCCGAGATCGACCATGCCAGCGTGTGAGATGTCCAAACATCAATGTGAATCCATGGGATCCAACTTTGCTTGAATGCCTGAAGAAGACTGTTCGTTGAAGGCTGCGTGAGTTTGGGTACGAAAGCTGTTCACTAGGACACCGACTGGACTATTCTGTTTTCGTAAGTGTTAATACGTCAATAAATTCATGTCTCGTAAGCTCACATCGGTGTCGGCTTGTGCCAGTTGTGTAACGTGGAGCGTGTGAGAATATCATCCACCACACACGCATGAATACTACCTAGACAGCAAGAACCACACACAAACCACTTATTACAGTACACCAGTCAGTTGCTTTGTCTACAGTTGCCTGTAGCTCATGGGCTGTTTGCCTCCTATTGCTTCCTTGCCAATATGCAAAAACATCATCTGCAAATGTCAGTATCCTTCCAACCCCTGGTGCTTCAAGTTCTGCAATCTTGTTTGTATACACATTGAAGAGCACACATAAAATTACAGAACCCTGGGTTAGTCCCTGGGTGATATTACATAGTTCTGAGGTCCATGTACCCAGGCAAAGGGCAGCCATACGTGAATGCAGGACAGCTGCCATCTGTTTCACCAGCCACGGACAAACCCCCTTCTCCATGAGTGCAGGTATCAAAATATCATATCTGACTGTTTTAGGCATCTTCAAGATCAAATGTTGCCGATTCCATCTCCTGTCTGTTTTGGAACCCCTCATAAACATCAAAAGCAAAAGTAGCTGCATTTGACCAGACATTTTTTCTTGGCTGGTAACTATCCACATCTTTTGGCAGGAGCTCTTCCTTTTCCAAAACATTTGTAGTTTAACAGCAATAATCTTTTCTAGCAAAGTATTTTGTACTTTGATAATCCTGAAACTGATGAGTCTGGAATGATCTTTGCCTTGTTTTGGAAGTTCAATTAGATAAGCTGTGTATCCAGTCCTGGGGTAATGAAACTGTTCTGATTCTCTGGTAGAAGTGAAGAGCCATCTCCCTCAAGTTTTTATCCCTGATACTCTTTATGTGGGCATACCTGATTCTTTCTCGCCCTGGCGCAGTCTTCTGCTCTTTGCAATATATATTTTATATCCTCAACACTAATGATATCCTGAAAATAATTATCATTTACAGTATTAGACAGATTATCTCTAACCGAATTTCTAAGTTTCTTAACATTATGATCAGTTTGGGCTAATAATCTCTCTGGAAATGCTTCCCCTTTCTCTTTGTCTGTTGTCATTGGCATACCATTATCAGTGTATTTAATGCCTTTTGTGATAAGCCGTTCTTTCCTCTGCATCCAATCTTTCCTTTGCATCTGTGGGTGAAGTTTTGAAAACCTACCTAATGATTTATCGCCTCCAATTTCACACCTAAAATGTTTCCATTTCGCCTTCTTTGCATCTGCTGCACACTGCTTGAACTCTTCTACTTTTTTCTTTTCCAACTCTTTCTAGCTTCTTTACATCTTCTTGTAACCTGTGAGTTGTCTTACACATTTTCTGTAATTGTTTAACTGCTGCTCACTTTGCTCTCCATGCCTGTTCTACTGCTTGGATCCAACATGGAGACTGCACAAAAGCAGAGGTGGTGGTTCTGCTGCATACCTTCTGTCGGAGGTGTCCAAGAAGGGTTCTGGCCCTTTCATCTAACAGCCCTGATCTTGCTAGGTTTAGAAATCAGGACACTTTGTGTCCAGCACTGCTGACTGGGTAACAAACACCTAATTGATAGCCGTTTATACAGAATACATCTGCGTCTACCATAGCCTCTGCTATAGCATTTCCTTGTCAGTTTCCCCAGTACTTTACCATGATCTATTTATGGCCTATATCTTTATCATTTAAAGAGCAAAAGATTTGAGGAATATTTGTTCACACAGATATGGATGATAAATAGTGTAAACAGGTTATGCATTCCTGCTTGCCAATTACTTCAAGTAATTCTTAGTGTGTATTGCTTCCTCAGATCTGGAATGAGAGATGGTGTGATACAGAGTCTATCAAGGTTAGTTTAAAATATATATTAGAGATATGTTAGATCGGAACAAATAAAAATAGGTTAGGTAGATATAGCCCAAAGGTCTTGTATTTTAAGATGCATTGAGTCACATTGTTTCTTTTTGAGAAACCACCTTGGCTTCCAGGTCGACCTAGCCTAAACTGGGTGTCAGGCAAAGTCCTGGTAAGTAAAAATGGCTAGGGTGATGTTGACCCTGTGCCGCTTGGTCTGCAAAAATAGGAGTCTGGTATCACATAGCTGAGTTGAAATAGGACCTTCAATTTAATTAACAATAAATCAGACAAAGGATACATACAAATTCTAATAGAAAACTGTAAGTTATCTAAAAAAGCAGCTTAAAAAAGAACTTTTTGCAACTTTTATCCATCAACACTATAATGAAATGAGTGGTTAGATGCTCAAATGTGGGTCAGAAGGTCGTGGGTTTAGGTCCTGAGGGTACCGCACTTTTTCAAAAACGATCTTGGCTCCGAGGTTGACCCAGCCTGACCACATCACCCACTATGTGGCGATTGGTCAATAAAATATAGGTCTTTATATGCCCAGTACGCGGAAGGATGTGGAAAAGGATATTTTTTTGTTTCCTTCAACTTAACCATAATTTAAAAAAACAGGCCTATCTACAAATGTGTGTGAACTAATTGTTTTTATTTTCAAGAAAAATATTTAATTTAAATCTGTAACCAGAATATTACTCATATTTTAACTGCAGTGCTTAGTACATTTGCTTGTCAAGCCAATGTGTTTCATATATTTAAAATATTCCTCATGTAGTAAATTATTCAAACATTGATCAGCCAGAAATAAATATGAAAAAATGTTTTAGGACTGTGCGCTGCAGCGCCCTGGGAAGCTGCTACCTCTTCACAGGGACGCTGCGAAATATACAAAGATACACAAGTTTTCTTTTCTTTTTAAAAAAAAAAAATCTCTGACAGACAATAGTCACACTTTTACTTAGGTTAGGGCACCGTGGAACATTTTTGTACTCAGAAAAGGGGCCATGAGTATGAAAAGTTTGGGAAACACTGTTTGAGGAGATAAAGATAGCAAGTGTGATATTGACAACATCACCCACTGAGTGCTAACTGGTTTGTTAAAACAGAGAACAATCACCATTTGTCCAATATATTTTTTATGTTATCGTATTACTTATGTGTGTATATAATAATTGTTACTTGGTATCTTTTAATGTCAGACTGTTTTTTATTTTATGAAGAATTAATGAATTTACTACTGTAGGTTCTGCGTAAAACACTGAACAGTAATGGGTACAGTCAAGTTCAAATTGTTGCAGCAGATCTGGATTTTGGCATTGTGGAGTATATGTCTAGAGATGCTGAGCTTGCTGCTGCCATTGATTATGTTGGGTATGTTTATCCATTTTTACAAGTCACTTCATTCCTCTTTACTTTCTTCTCCCTTAACCCAAAAGGTCATTGTGGCTAAGATGTAACAAAATGTTCTTATTGTTGTATTTATCTAGAAAAGCTGACATTTTAGAATTTCTTCTATAATATTTTTCTTTGGGAGTTGCCACACTCCATTGGCAAGATGCTTACCTGCTGGCCTCAAGGTCTTAGGTTCAGATTCGTAGTGAGGTAGATTTTTTAAACTGTATTAGGGTTTCCAGGTCACCACAGCCTAAAGGTAAAGTAGCAGACTTCAAAACAGGTTAATGAATACTTAGTTTCCCATGTGGGTTCCGAGGCCATAATGTGGGAAAAACAAGAATAGACCCAATGCACCGCCAATAAGCATGTTGTAAGTGTTGACTAATTGGGGGCTTCCTTCAAAGTTGGAGTGCATCTGCCTGAGACACAAGGAACCAATCTTTTTGCTTGCAGATGAGTTGGATCTGTAAAACGGATATGCATGCAACACTCAGGTTCTGGAACAAGACTAAAGTCCAGAAGTGGATGAGCAACCAGAATCGTCTGCTGAAGTGCCAATGATTTCAAAGAAGAAGAAGAAAGAATACTTACAGTCCATTTGCCACCACATGAACTTACTGAAGTTTACCTCCCATGACTTACTGTATCACTCAGGGAAAATTTCCCTTCCCCTACCTTCCTATGGCTGACTTCCTATTGCTCACATCAGTTCAATCATTGATTCAACCGCCTGATGGAAATTAGTGTTAAACGAGGACAAGCATTCAGAAACTGGTTGCAGGACAAAGAAAGAATATATTCCAACCAACTACTGCTGGGTGTGTTGAGCATGGAGACACTGGTCTGGATGCTGCATCAGAGTTTGTGATAGGGGGTAAATCTTCTTTGAACGATTTGGTAAATAGGGAAGGTAAGTCTTCACCGAGTGATGTAGTATGTGATGGAGAATGTGATATAGTATGTGATGGAGACAATGATGTAGTATGTGATGTAGTCTGTGCTGTATTATGTGATGTAGTCTGTGCTGTATTATGTGATGTAGTATGTGATGTAGTATGTGCTGTAGTCTGTGCTGTAGTCTGTGTAGTATGTTATGGAGAAGGAATGAGTCAAACTGATGTGCTAGGATGCTGGTATGGACAACATGTAACTAACTTACTACATCACTTGGTGAAGACTTACAATCCCTTACTTACCACATCATTCAAAGAAGGCTTACCTATCACATACTGCATCATTAAAAGATGGCTTACCCCCATCACTTTCTACATCACTCAGTGAAGACTAAACTTGCCTCACATATCACATCATTCAAAGAAGGCTTGCCCTCTATCACACTCTACATGACTCAGTGAAGACTTACCTTCTCTTACTTACCACATCATTCATAGAAGGCTTACCCTATATCACACACTACATCACTTGGTGAAGACTCACCTTCCTTTACTTACCACATAGTTCAAAGAAGGCTTACCCTCTTCACCTGCTACTAAATTTTGTGAAGATTTACCTTCTTTACTTACCACATCATTCAAAGAAGGCTTACCTATCACATATTGTATCACTGGATGAAAACATACCTTCCTTTACTTACCACATCATTTAAAGAAGGTGTACCCCATCACTTAATGAAGGCCTACCGTCCCCCTACTAACCACATTACTGAAGAAAAAAAAAAAGGCTTTCTTCCTATCACTCACCAAAATGTTCAGGGAAAACTAACCTCCCATCACTTACCATGGCCCTTAATGTGGAGAGGCTGAGTAGTCACAAGGCATGGCATCTGCCTTGAATGCTTGAGGTCCCGGGTTCAGGCCCCATTGAAGGCTGGGATTCTCTCATGTGGACTTATATTAATTTCCCCTGGTGTCTGGGCAGTAAGATCGTATGTATTGTTTAGTCCGTAAAAAATCCCATGGCAGTAGAAACTAGAAAAGAGTAGCCTAACGGCACTGCCCTGGCAAAATTTGGAGTTAAAAATCTAGCCAAAACTAGTTCAGGATCCTTGCCGGTACTACGGAGTTCGTGCACTGCACTGAGATTCTTTGGACTCAGGCTTGAGTTAGAAATAGAACAGAGCACTTATGGGTTACCATTCTTGTGCCATGATGTTGATCCATCATTCTGTAATAGGCTGGAAAACTACTGTTCAGCAGCTTATCAATTTTGATTTAATCTGGCTTAAAAATGACAAAGAGGCCACAAGAACAGCTATTAGGTTTAGACGGTAACGCGGAAAAAGTCTGGCCACTGGGTATAAAAAAGAACTGACTCAGTATTTGCCTCCTATTTTGGCGGTTGCTCTGTGGTCAGCATGGTATGGTCAAGACGCCCTGTTTGCCGTTGTTGACTGCACTTAGTCTCAACGCACAGGTGTGTCAGATTGGACCGGCTGAGCGGCGCTAGACTGGCATATGTTCGTGATAATGGTACGTTTTTTTTGGTTAGATGGTGTTAGAATTGATTTCCATTGTGTATTCTTACTAGGAGATAGTTTGATGGCAGGTCACTAAAGCTGATTTGTTGGTCTGCTAGTAGCTGTCAGTATTTTATTTATTGGTTTACTAGTTGCTTGGTTAGTTTTCTGCTGGTCTGCTCGTATACCTTCAGTTAGTAGTTCTTTAGTATACTTAGTGTTCGGAGTGTGTCATCAAGTTTTATTGTTATATGTCATCAAGTAAATAAAGTTTCTATATTTGTCAACTTACATTCTCATTATTTTAGTTAGTGTGCCTAGGTTTTACTGTTACACTATATTAGACCACACACAGAAGATTTCCTGACAGGGTGAGATATTTTTGATCTTACCCCCGCCTAAACAAACTTTTTCTCTTTTTTTTTTCTGTTACTGAGACAATTTAAGGTTGGGTTTTGGCTCTCACTCCAACGTCACATTGTTAGAACTCTTGTAGGTTCGGAGTCGAGGAGGTTTTAAGGAGTAGATTTCCATATTATCCTTTATAGTTATCTCTTCTATTTCCGCCATTACAAGATACCCCCTCTGCTTTGCTTCTAGTACACTTCAAACCATCAATGTGGATTTACCTCCAATCACTTACTACATCACATCACTCAGAAAGTTTGTGTAGTAAAACTTTTTTTTTTTTAAACATTTTAAATTATCATTGGTACAAATGGTTTGAAGCGGAATTCAGATTGATTTAGAACTGAAGAATCCATCTGATGTCAACAAACAAGTGATTTTTAGAAATATTCGATTGGATTGCTAGCCATGTGTATTATATAACTGTCATTTTATATAGTCTCATCTACTGAAGCTGCTCTGTGTGGAACCTTATACATTTAAAGTTATTTTTGAGCCATTTCAAGTTTGCTGATAGTTAACCAATGTTAATTTGTTTATAAATAAGCCAGCAGTAAACATTTAATTTAGTGATATTCTTTCCTGCAATTAGGGCTCACTACCCAGGTGTGTTATCTCCTGACTCTGCCAGAAAGATCGGCAAGCCATTGTGGTCATCTGAAGATTTCAGCACAGTCAACGATGAAGTTGGTGGGGGGTGTTGGGCTAGAGTAAGTATATAATCTCTGGGGCTGTTCCTTTGTCATTTATTTTGGTCTCATTGGCCACTGTCTAAATTCTTTTCTTCTTCACATTCACCATCTGCAAAGTCTGGCAGAAAATCTTGGTTGTTCATCCATGTCTTGTCCTGTTCTAGGAGTTTTGTATGTACACACAATTTTACAGATCTCGTTTAGTCTGGCCCCTCACTTTTCAGGCAGATACACTCTGACTGAAGGAAACCTCCTTCCTTTCTGCTTTGGCCAGGCCAACAGTTGGGAGCCTGTTTCTTGGTTGCCCGTTTCTAGGTTGCCCGCCGGTTTCTAGATTGTCTGACCATTTCTAGGTTGTCTGTTTCTAGGTTGCCCGTTTCTAGGTTGCCTGTTTCTATTTTGCCCGTTTCTAGGTTGCCCGCCGAGAGAGGCAGAGAGGTATTGGCCTTATGAGCCCTGGTCCTAGTGCACAACCATGTTTGGTTCCGCACCTCTGCATCCATGCTACTGTGCTAATGATCCGTGCTGTATGGCCTTGTTCAGCGTATCTGTTTACAGCTTTCTGTCTGTCTAGTGTCCTGCCAGTAATTTTTGAAACATGTTTGTTCATGCCATGAATACATTTTTTAATTGCTTGAGTCATGGTATGCCCTTTTTTTTTGGGGTGTCCATATTGTTCTAGCAGCATCTAAAACTGTCTGTTTTTGACGTTTGTTATTTTTTTTTTGTAAGTGATATTCTCAACCAAATTCTAAAAAAACCACAGTTCTGCTTTGCCAGGTTTCTTCATCCTTACTCATTTTCCTTCATTCACGCTCAAACATAAGAACAAACCACACTTAACTCTGTGACCGCCAAAGATTATAAAAAATGTAATGACTATAGAATCATCACATTTCAGAACTCTATAGGAAAACTCATGGAAAAAATGTTGACCTGAAAATTAGAGTCAAATATTCTTTTGGCATCTACACTAGGTGGGAACCACCAGGGAAGAGATATACCTTTTGCAGTGCTGCAGTATTTTCTTACAACACCTGTGAGGGCTTCCAGGCAGGAATGGAAATTGCCGCATCCGCCATTGACTTGAAAGACGCGTACAACAGCCATCCATACAGCATGCTTATCAGACTGATGATGGACGTGCACATAGAGACCAAAAAAGTCAACTGGATGGCAGCAGAACTCCTTGAAAGAACAGTGTCTGTGTGATGCAGTGCATAGAGACAAAAAAAGTCAACTGGATGGCAGCAGAACTCCTTGAAAGAACAGTGTCTGTGTGATGCAGTGCATAAAGACAAAAAAAGTCAACTGGATGGCAGCAGAACTCCTTGAAAGAACAGTGTCTGTGTGATGCAGTGCATAGAGACAAAAAAAGTCAACTGGATGGCAGCAGAACTCCTTGAAAGAACAGTGTCTGTGTGATGCAGTGCATAGAGACAAAAAAAGTCAACTGGATGGCAGCAGAACTCCTTGAAAGAACAGTGTCTGTGTGATGCAGTGCATAGAGACAAAAAAAGTCAACTGAATGGCAGCAGAACTCCTCGAAAGAACAGTGTCTTGTGATGCAGTGCATAGAGACAAAAAAAGTCAACTGGATGGCAGCAGAACTCCTCGAAAGAACAGTGTCTGTGTGATGCAGTGCATAGAGACAAAAAAAAGTCAACTGGATGGCAGCAGAACTCCTCGAAAGAACAGTGTCTGTGTGATGCAGTGCATAGAGACAAAAAAAGTCAACTGGATGGCAGCAGAACTCCTCGAAAGAACAGTATCTGTGTGATGCATTGTGTGTACATTGAAACCTCAGTATTTCTTAATGGGCTTGCCCTGGCATCATCATTGTCTCCCATTCTTTTTAATGTGTACACATCAGTAGTCACCTGTGCACAGATAGAAGGTCTGGGCAGAACAATGTCATTGGCAGGCAATATCAATGTATACCAATAAGGAAGCAGCAGGCATGACAATACAACAATGCTATAGAATGAATTAGACCGAATCAGTGAGTGGTGTCAGTAATCAAGAGCACAGGTAAACCCAGCAAAGGCCTTAACATGGTTCTCCTTGAGTACCCACATTGTCAGCACACCTGCGCCAGTCATGAGCATGTGCGGTATAGACACAGACAGTGACATAGTTAGAGCCAGGAAAGTTCTGACGGCGCTGAAGGCGATGGCATACGCCGACATTGAACAACGCCTACTTTTCCTTTTCTATCAAGGATTTGTACTAAGTGTTATAGACTATGTGCTGGGCTTTTTCACTTTCAGCATAACTCAGCTAGAAAGACTGGACCGTGTAAAAAATTAGGCCATGAGACTCATACTTTGCTGCACAAAAGACACCTCATGCCAGGCCATGTGGTATGTTCTGGGTTTGCTGACGATGGCCACCAGACATCAAGTGGCACAGGTGAAAGTGTACATGAGAATATCAGCAGACCTGAACCACCCACAATGCAACGCTATCAGTGATATAAAAGGGATACATCTTAAAAGAGGCTACTCCTCTATGGCCATGGCAGAAACTCTAATCCAGCAAGTATGTGACCTATGTCACAGAAAAGAATGAATGGATACACCAGTAGACATGCATGACTTGTCTAAGGTTTTCATGACAATAGGGAGGCACTGCAGAAGTCAGATATCTCCCACTGTAAATGCAGAGATTAGGGCACTAATTTATGATCATTCATGCCCAGAAAAAGACATCATTTACGCAGATGGATCCGTGAAGCATGGGTCAAGATCAGCATGGGCTTGCATAGCACAAAGGATAAGGAAAATAATAAAAGAGGATAGTGGAGCTTATCAGACAACTATTTCAAGCATGACCATGGAGGTAACTGCTGCTTTCAGAGTACTCACCTGGGTAGTAGAACAAGCTGACACACATACGGTAATTGTTTCAAACTCCAGGAACAGATAGTCTGTGTTCTGAATGGGTAGAAAGCATTTGGAAGTTTCAGTTAACCACCATCATCTGGATCTACACACCTGCGCACGCAGGAGTAAATGATAATGAAAGAACTGACCAGCCAACAAGTAATGCACTAATACAAATGGACAGAGCTCATCAATGCTGTACCAACTAGGTTTGGGGATAGCGTTGAATCTCAGACTCTACGCAGTTGCGTGACCGAGGAGTTAAACTTGGTGAACTTTGAGGTAAATACAGGAGATACTATAATCAGTTTTTTCCTGGGAACAATCAGTAGAGGTACCTTAAAGTGGGTGCTGCATCGGAGGACTGAGCACGCATTGGAATACCCAATGTGCGAAGACATTATGATAACATAACATAACACTTAACCCTTTGGCCCTGTAAATGTAAGTTTTGCAGCTTCCCCCCCCCCCCCCCCAGCATTATTGCTTTGGGCAGTCGTTACTTCCTTATACAGTAGGATATGGCAGTGGCTAGCAGGCTTGCCTGACGGCTCAGTTATCTTAAGTTTGAACCCCCTGGTTGAGTGATCTCGAGGCATAGAGTCTGCCTCAAGTGCTTAAGGTCCCGGGTTCAGGCTCTAGTAAAGGCTATGGTTTTTCTTTTTCCACCTGGATTTATGTCGTGAGGTGAGCAGCCAACCCTACACAATGGACGAGTCATGACTTTGACTTCCCTCGCGGACAGTCAAATTTCAAACTTAAACCCGTCCGGAAGGGTATATAGTCCCTTATATTGATATATACCTTTATCTGGTAATATATTCATTTCTAGACCCTCTAGTTGCTTTGATAAATCTTCATTTTCAAACTTGCAACTGAAGGTTGAAGATTTCCGGTATTTAATTCAGAAATTCCTGTAAGCCGGTTTACTCCTTGGGCAGGAATACAGGGGACTTCTTTCCTAGAGACGCTAAGTTTGATTTTGAAAAAACATTCTTTCGCCTGATCCCAGAGTGTCAAGACGTGTATACAGTCTATATAGAAATTGGCGCATTCAAAGTTCCAGTTCTATCTTGGAAGAATTCCTAAGCTTGGGATGATACCTCCTTAGAGATCAGGCAGACAAATCACAGTCCAGCCAACAACCACCAACCTATACCATTCTGTGCACCAAGCAGATCCAAAAGTCCTGTATACTGTGCCACTAACTCAACATGGCAAGAGCTTGTTTGTGAGTTCCAGGACCAGTGGATAATGGCAGACACCTGTGTCATCAATCCAGAGAACCAGTCTTCAAGAGCTTTGTTGGGCTCTTGTGCATTTATTGTGTCTTTACCTGTGAGACCGGCAGCGGGCATCACAGTCTCCAAGAGTTTTGGTGGGCTCCTATGCAGTTCTTGTGTCCTCATTTGTGACAGTCAACTTGTACCAGATCAAGTCAAGGCCTAACTACTGATTGAGTCAACTACAGTCGAATCACCATGGACTGAGGGGAACATTGACCTACGAACTGGGCTAAGTGATCTTTTATTCACATTACATGCTCTTCTCCCACAGCACCTTATAAGTCCGATGATGAACTCATGTACTCCTCAAGACTACATCTGGCTGCTTCAATATCTGGGTTGTCTCAATGTTTCCTGAGCCCCATTCACTGAACTCTTGTTGATCTATTCATTATTATATATATATATATATATATATATATATATATTGTACTAATTACATGCACAAATTTTCATGGCTGACTTGGGTGTCCCTATTTCACCATTCTAACTGTCTAGCTTTGATGTTTGTGTGAGTGAAAAGGTTATCTGTGTTAACATGGCTATGATAGTATACTATCATAACCTGGGGGCTTCCTTTTTATAGTAGTGGGGGTGTCCAGCCAAGTGTGCATAGGTGATACGTGCGGACCTTCATTGTGACGTGCAGAGCTTCATGCTGATGTGTGTGGTACCAAGATGAATTAGGCCAAGTAGGGGTAAAACAGTAGTTACTTCAATGCTTTCAGAATGTAGAGCTCGAACGCTATGCGTTAAGTTCCAATGGTTGTATTGATATATACGATCAGCAATACAAGGAGAAATACATATGCAATCAATAATCAACTCGTTCAACCAAAGCTCACTC